AATGTGTGAAGTTGTCACCGACACCAAACAAGCGTCACAGAGCAAAAACGCCAATGATACTTAAAAACAGTTACGCACAGTTACTCAACCAAAAGTGAAAAGTTCAACTGACAGCAACAGAAACAACAACAATGCTGATTGCAACAAAGCGTTTGGCATAAATATGCAAAAGAAGAACATATGGTAAACCAAATGAATGCGAGCAACACACAGCAGCAGTTAAACAACGAAAACACACACATACAGATGTACATATGCGCATGCATGCATAAAAATACATAACGATACATAGAAGCGCATATACATTTCATACAAGCGCATGCAAATGCCATAAGATTGATGAAAAGTGTTTTAAATGGATTTCGGATGCTGCATTTGTAAACATTTCCACCAATACATGCATGTATAAATTAGTGTGTGTGTGTGTACTTAAATTAATGCGACTATACTAGCGCAGCAGACACACGCCTGCATATGCGTAGCAATTGCGTTTGAGTGTTTGTAATGTCACTAGCAAACACACACACTTACACGCACCCAATTTCGGAAACATCACGCACACACACACATACATATATTGCCACACAAATTTTATCAAAAGTTGCAACTTTCACTCTGCCGCAAGACGAAAGTGGCATTGCATGTACAATAAAAACAGACACAACAACAACAGCAGTAACAACAACAACTGCAGCATCACTTGTAACTAACAAGTGCCCAGAGATTGAATAGGCCCTCGAGTCTTTTGCAAATTTGTCTGTTTGCCTGATTGTTCTGAGCCTCGAAAACTTATTCGCTCAGCCAAAAATTAGTGCGCCACACTGGCGAGCAGCGGCAGGGTTCATAGCGTCGTTATAAAATTGTGCATATTTACTCGTCGCTATTTGTTGTTGCTGTACGCTTACGCAATATGTTTCGGTCGAATGCAGTCTTGCGGCGCTTGGTCGACTTCTTTTTGCAGCACTTGCAAGTGATGGCTTTGTGTTCCGTCTTTGTTGTTACAACAACTTTGATACTGCTGCAATTGTAAGCGTTTTTGTTGTAGTTGTTGGTGCTGTCATGTTGCAAGCAAAATTAACATATCCCCTAATGCCGGTTTAGCAATTACAATGACAAGTAGCAGGCTGGCGTGCGTAAGTGGTAAAGGAGTGGCACACATATACACTTGTAAGTTGTTGTAAATGTGTGTGTGAAAAGAAGTGCGCGTAGTGTGGTTTACATGTGTGTTTTGAGTTAAATTTAAGTGTTTTTGAAGACGATTATGGGTTGAGCCTGGCTTATCAATTTGAATATATTCAATAATTAAATCATATTTAATATTAGCATGTAATTAAATTGATATTTATGAGTATTTGTATTTGTTCAATTAAAATCTTCAACTTACTAATTACCTAGTGAATTATAAACTGTAATATTTTGCTCTCAGCGAACACAGATTATGCTTGTAAGAGTGAAAATCAACCAAAATGCTGAGCTGTGTATGTCATATAGTACAGAATAACAGTATGATATAGTGACTCGATTTGAACAATTTTCTTGAAGATTACGCCATTGCCTTAGACCATAGCCACATTTCGTGAAGATATCTCGTCAATTTAAAAGGTACAAGAACTCGGAATCGGTCCAATCATTGCCTCATTATGCTTCTTACAGTTCACAGCCTAGTTTTTTGTTTGGAAACGGGATCTAAGAACAACAAAAACAAAACAATGACCAGTAGAATTAGAATATATGAATAAACAACAGAAGTTCAATAAATCTGGCAAGGTATGAAGAAAATTTGATCACGTGACGACTAAGATTGCGGCTATACTCCTTCGAATTATGCTTTCATAGGGGAAAGAAATTTCGTTGTTGAGTATTAAAGTTTCTTCTAACGATTATACATATGTATAGTATGTCTTCTACAGTCCGAACAATACCTTAAAGTTTCTGCTATCGTTTCCGCTTAGATTGACTTGGATCGCTATCTTATGTAAAACAATGCATCTTGAGTTAGAAACATGAGTCTCTAGCATTAAGAAAGAGGACGAATATCCATTAATTGGTAACAAGAGCACTCTAAAGTGCTTGTATTTTCCAACCAACTTCGAATTACTATGTGTACTATATTACAGATCTTATTGACTTATGCCTTGTATCATAAGTGTTTAGTTTTTTAAATGTTTTACTTGTAAATATAATAGTTAGTTCATCTGTTGCACAATAACCGATACTCTGTTACGTTATGCACTTTCTTTCTCTTTTAGCCTAAATCAGGACAAAGAGGAGATTTTCTAGTGATATATATCAATTTGCCATTCAGCTTTGAGTCGAAATGTTGACTTAGACGACTTATACCATGTTCTCACCAAAATTTTGAAGTGATTAGATTAAATTAAATCTATTTATTAATCTAGACTGTCCTCACTGCCGTTGGAGATTTATAAACATCTGTTTTTGACTAGCCGATGGAAGCTGTGGCATTTTTTCTCGCCACAACTCTATTAGATCGGCTTCAACAGCCGCACTCTCCTTTTGTTGATGCTATTTTGTGTTCTTTTTACTTATTTACATGATATTGCTTTAAGTTTAAAAACTTTTTACTTTATTTGTTGGTTTAATTTTTTTCACTCTGACAGTTTGTAATGTCTTAATTAGCTGTGACAAAGAGATGGCGCTAAATCAGAGTCGCATTGTTTATCAGTTCCATAATAAATAATTAATGGTGGGAGGATTCAGCTCACTTCTAACGTGACACGCTACTCTCTCCGTTAAATAAAATCGAAGCTGCTTCCTTGACATAGATCTGTCCCCGCCATACTGGCTACAAACCTGTTAGTTCAGATATCGATCATTACAAATAGACATATTTGCCAATAATTATTCGCATTGTATTTTCAATATGAAAAAATTGAGACACCAACGCATTCAACTCTTTCACTTTATTAGAACAACTCCCTGATGTCCTTTCATATGTCAAAGTCAGAATATTTTCTTTGCCACGCACTTGCATGTCGAAACCACGCCAAAGTATTGTCCATTTGCCGGCATAACTGCTTTGGCTTTGCTGTTAACTAGCTTAGCTGTCATATGCTGTTCCTCCGTCGACTAAAACCCCTTCCTTACCGCTTCACCGTTACAGCCAAATCATTTCCAACTCTACAACTTGCACAGACATGTCTTGCCATTGGCTCACTTGCAATTGCATAGGCTCACTCATACACAGACACACACTCACACATACACACACTCACACATACACAGCCAAACTGTTTGCATATGTTTGCCCAACAACAATCACACCACTAATATAATTGCCCATACCGCTTCTCGATCTCATCCATCTCATCTGCTCGAGTGTTTATCTGTCTAAATATATTTGTGTACGTTGTCTGCATCCAAACTGTCCCCAGGGGTAGGTAAATTTGATTTATGACTTATTATGCGTCTTATGTCCCTTTCATAATTTAATTATACGCCCCGGCAATGCGACCATGCCGACTAACAGCGATGAATGGCGCAAAATGCACGACGGCTTGCATGTTGCTGCTGTTGTTGTTGTTGCCTTTGTGAGTTGTGTGTTTCTGTGTGTGAGCGGCAAAGCTATTTATAGTCACCAAATTGCATTCTGACATGCAATGTTGCAACTTTTGCAGACGATGCCTTGCCCTCATGTGAATATGCATGCCTGTGTGTGTTTGTATTCATATAGCTACACATACAAATACACAGGAGTATTTGTGGGCTCTAAAAGTCCGTATTTTTGGCTTTTACTCGCCAACAAATTGCAAACGTTTGCATTCTGTGTTAACTACAGTATTGGGCTTTATATACGCATACACTCACGCATACACATAAATACTCAACCCAAGCAATATGTAACTGTTTGTGCGTAGAGTTGCCGAGTCGGCATTTGAAGGTCGTCCAGCTGAAGTCGTTTACGCAACAAATGCAATTTAAAACACGAACATTTTGTTTGGCAATTTCGACAAAAAAAACAACAACAGCAATTGGGCAACAAAATTAATGCAACTGGCAGCAGTGTTGCATGCAACAAATGTTGAACTGTTCAAGCATTACAAGCGTTCCAATTGCATTTGTTGTGGCATGAAGCTAAACAACAATAACAAAAAAATCAAAAACAATAACAAAATGTACAGTAATGCAACATCACAACAACAATATGGCAGTAAAGTGCAAATTTTGTAATTAAAATCTGTTTTAGTTGTTGCTCGATAATGTTCTTTGCTGCCGCATCGTGTGGCAAATACGCTGTGGACTTGCCACAATGTCACTCATAGCTGTGCGGAGTGCGAGAGACGAAAAACGGAGTGCGAAGCATTGCATTATGTGAGCTGGAAATTGCTTGAAATTAAATGCGTTGCATGAAAATCTAATGAATTATTGAGTAATTGTCGCTTGCAACATGAGCTGTGCATGTATGTATGTGTTTGTCCCCTTTCCTTTCACACTCCCTATTAAACAATTGCTAATTGTAAATCTGCCAGTGGCTAGGGAACCGGCTAATTTGATGAATTCGAAATCTTGAGTGAGCAGAAGATAGTTGTCGCAAGGCTTCTAGGTGTGATATTTGATCAAATATTGCAAGTAGAAATTACTTTAGGTTTAAGTAAGAAAAAAGTTCAGTTGCATCGAAGTTATTATACCCTGAACATATAACATTAACTTATCTGGAAAATTCTATGTCGGTATAGGTGCTTTGAGGCGATTCATACGATTTCTTTAAGCATGTATTTTACGCCTACTATTTTCAATCAGAGGCAAGTTTTTTTTTTATAATACCGTTACCTATTTAGCAAAATACAAAACTTATTATTCAAAATCAAGAATTGAGTGCCAAAAAACCCGTAAATATTGTCATGACTTATGACACAAAAAACGCTGAGAGTTTTACAGTTACACGCGCAAATGCACACGCACACTCTTCACGTCCACTTCGTATCACGATCATATAAAAGCCGTAGGCTGCGGCTGAAAATACATCATACAACGATCGATCAATCCACAGCAAGCACAACAAGGCAGCTATTAAACTCACTTTCAATAAAAAGTAAACAAGCAAAAAGTAAATTCGCAGAAATGGCTTTCAAATTCATCGTACTCTCCGCACTTTTGGCCGTCGCCAGCGCTGGTGTCCTGCAACCGATCACCTACGCTCATGTCGCCAATCCCGCCGTGGATGCCGTCGCCTCCAGCCACCAGAATGTGGTGCGCACTTTCGATGGCACCGTCTCGCAATACTCGAAAACCATCGAGACTCCTTACTCCAGCGTACACAAGTCGGACACACGCGTCAGCAATAATGTCTACCAACCCGCAGTGGCCAAGACTGTTTACGCTGCTCCAGCTCCAGCTGCTGTCTACGCTCATTCCGTTCCAGTTGCCAGGACTGTGGCTTATGCCGCTCCAGCCCCAGTGTATCATCATGAAGTGCCCGTTGCCAAGACTGTCACTTATGCTGCCCCCGCTGTAGCCAAGACTGTCACTTATGCTGCCCCCGCTGTGGCCAAGACTGTCACCTACTCCGCTCCAGTTCCAGTACCAGTGTACCACCATGCCGCTCCAGTAGCCACCAATTACAATCAAGGCTCCGCTGCCACCACTTACACTCATAACGCTCCCGGTGTCTCCGGTTATGGTGCCAGCCAAACCGTCCATTACTCTCCAGCTGAGACTGCCTCTCACATGAGCTTCGATGGTTTCGGTACTCACTGGGGTTGGTAAATAATCAATTTTTCAAAATATATGATTCCTCCTGTTATACATAATATACTCATTCCCAAACATACATAAATATAAGTGTTGATTTTACTTCTCTTTGTTGATTATTTGTTGTTGAATAAAATGTTTTGGATTGAAGGTAATGCAAAAAAACATTTGTTTGATTAAGGGATTAAAAAAGTTCCATATTTGAATAGTCTTATTAAATTAGTGAACGGTTGAAGAAACAACGTCATTAAATCTACTTAGAGACGTTCAATAAAGACATTAAATACATTTAACTATTCACTTGACTGGTACCGCTAGCACAGAGTTTGAAAATCCCAGAGGCAACGAAATATGACATATGAAATCAGATTTTTCATTCCAAAAAAATTCAATTTTCTTTCAAAAATTTTCGTTTTTTATTATATACAAATTTTACTCTTAGGCTAAGCAAAAAAAATAAAATATTTTTTCGCTCCACCCCAGTGTCTATGATCGATAGAATATTTTATCCTTGCTTGATTTTTCAAATATTTCATTTCCTCTTCTATTTGTGATGTTAGATCAGACAATCCCCTTTCTAATATATATTTTTCTATCACATAAAAAAATAATTTTTTTTTAGCTTACTGCTATTTACACTTTTCGCTTACTGGATAGAACCAAAGCAATTGTCCTCATTATTGATATTGAAGTCGCCATTACTTTGGATTGAGTTGCAACCAATGTCTTCCTATGCTATTGAAATGCCAAGAGTGGAGCCCCGATATTTTCGTTTACTGCTGCTTGTATATAATTTACCATATATTGATTTAGGTAATTTTCTCTTTTCGTAGTTTGCAACTAGTGTGGAAAACCGATTATTGCAATCTCTCAACATTTAGATACAATTTTTAAAGAATCATGTTTTTGCCTTTGTCACTGAGAGCAGAAAAAAGTCTTTGGGACTGATACGGGGAATATGGTGGATGCGAAAGCAATTCAAACTCCGTAAAGATAATTTTAACATGTTTTCCATTGAGCAGTGCCTCAGTGTATTGCCTGCTGAAACAAGACTTTTTTCTTCTTTAAAAAGATGTTATTGCGACTTCGTCCTTCAAACATTCTTATAACGCTATGACATAGTCACTGTTAATGACTTTTCCGTTTTCAATTTGGATTCGTTTCATCGCATCCAGCTTACTTGGATGACTATCGGAGTCAAATGAAAGAGTTAAGAGATTCCTTCAAATATCCACTGGGTTTATTCTTTTCGATACTCATATGGTATGATCGGCATTTAGCATACCTCTTACGAATGGTTGCTTCGCCTAGTGCAGATACCGGATACTCATCAAGTCTCACTATTTTATCACAATTATATTCTTATCAAAAAATAGTGCTTAATTAATACATAAAAATTTTTGAATTTTCGCCTCTCAAAATACAATATATCTCAGAACAATATCAAATTTCGAAAGCTATGAAATGTATGAAGGTCAGGTCTACTAGACTGATGGATTCAATTATTATGGTGTCAACCATACAAAAACATACTTTTCAACCTATCTAGTATCTAGTACGGAACACTTCGTCCGTTCGTTTTAAGTCGCCACTAACTTCTGACATGTGCCACTGCTTCAAAATAAACTTCAAGGTAATACAGTCGATATATAAATAACATACTAGCACATTGTGCTCCCATTTGTAGGAAAATTGTTTAGTAGCTTCTGAACATTTAACAGCTAGCTTATTTCTCCTAAGGGATATGATAGTTAAAACTTTGACAAAAAGATGGTCAGAGCCAGGTTTTACACATATCAAAATCTCCGATAAATCAAATTTATTCGGCGTATTACTTTTTTTATTCGGGGATTAGATATTAGCTTGATAATGCCTATTAAATTTAATATATTAGCAGAGGCACCTGGCCCCAACGAAGTCATTTAGCATCGTCTAGGTAAAGTTTGACTTCAATATGTTATTTAACTAACAATATTACTTCATATGTCTTTATATTAAGAAACTTTTAATCAAGCTTCTTCAGATTAAAGAGATGAGGTCCTTTTAAAAAAAAATTACAATAATGGACTAGGTATATCTGGAAATTAAGTATAGTATCGCTTGTACGATACTTAAATGATGAATTAAAAAAAAGATTTTAAGAAAAATAATGACTTTTCAGGCTGATAGTGGGATCAGGTGTTGTAGGCTCTACAAGTATAATGTTACCTCGCAGTATCGTAAGGATATAGTCACAGAGTTATTTCAAGTTTAAGAATTTTTAAACTCTTTTGACTTCTTTACGATATCATAAATTCTTTTAACTGTGGAGGCGTAAACTCAAAATGTTTGACCCTCATTGTTTTTATGTGTGGAATACACATCCGTATCCAATATTGAGACTTACATCAAATGGAAAAATGTATTTTACAACAAAAATTATCTTTGGGACTTGGGATTAATTATAAAAATAACAATTAATTTTATAATACAATGGTTCGTTAGTGTAAAGGGTAAAAAAGGCAGGGTCATGTCAATGTGATTATAGGCCTGCACGCACTGATTTTCGAAAAACCGTTAAAAAAGAAAACAAATCCAAAGCGAAATGCGTGCCACTCAAAGCCGAAGTAAACGGAAGGCATAAAATTTGCAATGATTTTTATTTACTGCTGCAAACTAGGCCGTGCTCTCGCTAATTCGTGACACCGCGATCATATAAAAACAACACATTTTGCCGAAATCAGTATCAGTCTATAAACGATCAAACAATTGTAAACAGCAAAAACTTCAATATTTTACTTTATTTAATTCGCTAAAAGTAAAATCTACAGAAATGGCTTTCAAATTCATCATACTCTCCGCACTTTTGGCCGTCGCCAGCGCTGGTATCCTGCAACCGATCACCTACGCTCATGTCGCCAATCCCGCCGTGGATGCCGTCGCCTCCAGCCACCAGAATGTGGTGCGCAACTTCGATGGTACCGTCTCGCAATATTCGAAAACCATCGAGACTCCTTACTCCAGCGTACACAAGTCGGACACACGCGTCAGCAATAATGTCTACCAACCCGTCGTCACCAAGACTGTTTACGCTGCCCCAGCTCCAGCTGCTGTCTACGCTCATGCCGCACCAGTTACTAAGACTGTGACCTACGCGGCTCCAGCACCCGCTGCCGGTTTGTACACACACGCTACACCCGTTGTTGCCAAGTCTATCTATGCTCCCGCTCAACCCCATGCTCTTGTTGCTGCTCCAGCTGTTGCGAAGACCGTCACTTACTCAGCTCCAGCTCCAGTATATCATCATGAAGTGCCGGTTGCTAAAGCTGTCAGCTATGCTGCTCCAGCTCCGGTTTACCACCAAGCCGCTCCTGTAGCAATCCACTACTCTCCAGCTGAGACTGCTTCGCACATGAGTTTCGATGGTTTCGGTACCCACTGGGGTTGGTGAATAATTTCCAAACACTTTTTGAGTTTGAAAAAGTTATTATCTTCTTAATATAATTGTTGTTTTTTGGTTGTTAAAAAATTTTTTTGAATAAAAATGTATTGCTATGCAAATATAATCAACTTATGATAATTGAAAGGAACGGAAGGAATAACCGTTATGGTATTTGATACATGGCTGAAGAAGTGTTTCAGGAGATGCAGTCCTGGTTTGGTTGGCAAAATAACTTCTCCTTAAATAACCGTATCCTGTTGTCTTCGAAGGTCACAGAGCTGGACTTCACTGTAGCAATCCAGCTCAGTGACTTTCGAAGAGAAGAGTATACGATTATGTACAGATGATAATTGTTATTGCTTAGAGAAAAGAAGTTTCCTCAGAAATGTCTCAGATATGGGTCTAATAACACTTAGCTTTGAGAGCATTGTTAGATACCACTTTGATTGAGGATCTGCACATCCATCAAAATACTTTTGGCTACCAACTTGGCCTTAAGACGTTGTTAGTTTCCAAACTCTTTGGATCCAAATGTATTTTTGTCTTAGAAATCTCTTCAAAGTAGAGCTTACTAGTTTAAAAAAGCTGGATCTCCAAAATTAATTGATCTTAATCGGGTAAAATCCAATTTAGTTTTCTATGGGCTACTCTCGTTGAAATCATCCATTACTTGGACATTCCGTTAGAAGTTAATGCGAATATCTAATTTGTCGTTGTGATTACATAGCCTTCTTATATTCTTCGAATTTAAGATTTTGTGGCCAGTACCAGTAAAAACCAAGCTTACGGAACTTGATATCTAAAGGAATGAGACTAAGAAGTGTATATTACTATAAACAATTTAGCTGTGGCAGTTTTTACGAATATACTCCACTTGATCTCACCTTGTATCTTGTAGGAAACACCCCCAATAACTATCTCTCTCTAAAAATTAGACCAATACCTTTACTATACTTGTTGAACCTTCCATGCTTGGCCGTATAATCTGTGCAATTATATTATTTTCCCGTTTTGAATTGCAATTCCGAAGATTTTACAGAGCCCTTTGCACTTCCAACATTTATGCAAACATTTTCCTAGTGGGTCGCTATCAAACAAGTATCATTTCTCATACAAAAAAAATAAATAAATAAAATTAAGCTATTAAATAATGAAAACAATGGTGACCACAAATTGAAATAAGATATATTAATACAAAATGAATTATTTGCAGCATAAAACATTGCGGCTTAACGGTTTTTTCATTCATTCTTGTTTATTTCATTTTTTGCGATAATAATACAAATAACATTAGCCACGCCACTCCATTATAATTGAGCATAAGTCAAGCACGTCACGGTAAACACCAAAGCACACAGCAAAAATTTTAAATACAATAAACGCACTGTAAAAGGTTATTTCACCGTAGAAAAAAAGGTGGACAGCAGCAAAAAAGTGGAGTGAAAGAAACACTCAATGAATATGGAGCAAATGCGCGTCAAAGCGAATTAAAATCTACGAATCATATCAAATGGCATTTTAAGTACACGCTAATGTGGCGCATGTGTAGTTCGGCTGTTGGGCAGGTGAACAAAAACAAAAACTGTGCTGTCATGCGTGGATTTGCCGATGGAAAGGTTAAGGTAGTTGGTGTGATGGTGATGAGGGCACAGTTAGCTGTGGAGGGCAATGTTGAAATGGAAATATACTTGTATGGTTGATTTTACCTCTAGAGATAATATGTGCTTATTCATGCGGGTATGAATGTGTTTGCACTGACAGTGATAGTAGGGGTTGACCTTCATAAATGGTGGGTGTTTTGATTAGCTTATTTTGCATGGTTATCATATGTACACGTAGCTAAAAAATTTGGCAAATTTGTATCTTGTAGGAAATTTTTCCAAAATAAGAAATTGTAAGATATTAGAAAAGCAGCTCATGATCATATGTCTGCAAGATCTCTCAACGAATATTGCACAGTTTTGTGATAAGAACACTTAGATGTCACGGGTTTGGCTCAAGTACCGATGGGTATCCAAAACCTTCCTAAAAAAAAAAATCGAAACACGCCCGTTCTTCTAACCCAATAATAGGGTGGGTTATCATATTATTACTTTAAATCGTAATATACATGTCTCCATAATCTGAGAGAAAAGAACAACAACAAGTATTGCTCTTTATTTCTGTATCACTTTTGGCGAAACTATTTTTAATTTTATTCTGAAATGTACTGAAAAATAATAGTATCAACTCAATTTCAGTTCATAAGTAATCTGGAAATTTTTTTCACGAGTAAAATATGATATGATCCATATTTCTTATATAGCTTTTCTCTATCTATAATACAATAACAAATTATCTCTAAGTTCTTGAAAAACAGTAATTTTACATTCCAATCTTACATCATAAGATGCACCAACTTTGCGGCTTATAAGTTTAACAGCAAAGGGACTACATGTACAAACCTTGAACCACTGAGGTTACAGTGACTTCTGCAAGAACTTAACATCTTTGGAGTACCATTTCATCTTAGTAAAAGCATCGCATGATATTATGACATGTGGGTTTTAAAGAGTTTATCATAATCGCCGCTGAAGAAAGTCTTCTTGAGTACTTTGAAAAACACAGGCAGAGGCTAACATGATCATACTCGTATATCACAGTTTCTTCGAAATTCATGTGTAAATTTGCGATCCGATTAGGTCCTCCAATTATGAGTCTACTTTAAAGTTCGCCAGAGACCTTTGGGAGAATTTTCATGAAGTGTCGATGATGTTTTGATAGACGACTACAATATATTATCTAATACTTTACAGATTTATTTGAAGTACGAATAACGAACTGTAGTAAAGGCTGAATTCTTTCCATTGCAATTATTTTTCAAAAGGGTTGCCAACTATTTGCAAAAATTGTTATTACAATATTGGTATCAAAACAAAAGGGATTAAGGATATCACTAGCCAGTTCTACCAAATGGTCATATGACTGCTGCGAAATAATTATATTAATTTAAAATTGACGAGAAATCGTCATGTTTTCCTGGGGGGTGTTTGCCAGCGTACTCAAATATTTATCAAAACATTGATTGTAGCACATGAACTGGCTAGTCCAACAAATGCACTAAATTTGTGTGTCTGCTAATCGGCTTGGCAAATTGTGCGTTAAGTGCTGCCGCCCATTTCAATCACTCAGCGAATCGGTTAATTTTTTTTTAACAATTTTTATTTGATTTCAAGTAATTCGTTCGACAACAGAGTTTTGAATTTTATATTTTACTTTCATTTGATTATACAATTGATAACTTAATTATGGCGCGTTGTTGCTATCTTATATTTGAAGAATATTGGAGCTAAAAATAGGCTAATATTGCATAAATATTTGTACAAACATGAAATAAAAATATATATGTATGTATATGTGAGAAAATATTTTATTCGCTCGAATGTTCGTTATATGGTATATCTATGTTACATACCTATATTTGTTTGAGTGGGTGTTAAGCTTTGTTTGCTCGTTTGGTTGTGAATTCGCACTTAACTGAGGTCAGGTAAGGAAAAAATATTAACCGGTTCTTGTTCATTGAAGTGCTTCATGCAAGCAATGCCACTCGGTCTATTGCGGTGATAATTAAAGTGATCTAATTATAGCTCAAATGGATTGTTGCTAAGTACCAGTGGAAATGATAATAAGGTAAATTCGCAAAATTTTTTATTTGAAAATATTTATGTGCGTATGTATATCTGTATGTATGCACTAACCACCTTCGTTCGTTTGTCTGCTCAATATTATTGAACTTTTTTCTCTTGCCAAAAAATGTATGGCAACAAAGTTACCGAGTTGAATTCGAACTAAGAGAGAACGTGTATGCAAACGTAAGTGTACTCTTTTTGATTTTTGAAATTCGATTGATTTTCGAAATTTATGGGGAAACATGCTTCGTTCAAGAAGAGACCAACAGATGATCCTCAAACATGGCTGTAAAAACTTATTTTACCATTAGGATGTTGGATGTAATGCTCACAACTGCAGTAAATGAAAAATAATTTAGAGAATGTCAAAACACTAGGTAGAAACTCTGAGAATAGCCGGGTAAGCTGTTTACTCAACGGTGAATAAAAACAAAAACAAATTATGCCTCCAATCATTAGCTAAAGTTCTTAGTCATTAAAGTTCAAGGCATATTCAGAAGCAGTTTTTTTTTAACAATTTCATTAAATTTTATATCAGATTCTGGAAAACAATAAGTTTTTTCCTACCCTTCACTGTGGTAAAAAAATTCTATACTACAAAAAAAAAAGGCAGAAAATTTAGCATACATTTTGGAGCCAATATGAAAACCTGAGACCTATAAAAATAAAGTAATAAATTACAAAATGAGCAGTATGGCTAACTATTTCATAGAAAATAAATAAGTAATTCAAGACCTCACTCAGCAAGACTTATAGTTTGAAGTAGCTTTTTTCAAGCATTTTCAGTATACGCAGAAAACATAAGCCACGGGTTGGTTCTGATTAAACCGAAATGGAGTGCAGATGTTGTTGTGACTCTTAAAAAGTATTCTCCAGTTAGCTTAACTTCTGAGGTGACAGTAATTGAGCCAATATAAGTTCAGGGCGGACTGTATTGAAAATCCACCTGACGGTTTTTTTTTAACTCTCGGGGGTTGTCACATTAATACAATAAGAGTTTCAGAAAATTGCCTAGAACGAAACTATTTGTCCTAAAATCTAATATCATATATATTTGCAGTTTTCTTGAGACTTTTTTGATACACTTGTCTATCCACATTCCACGAAAGTACGCATGGAAAAAAATATGTAAACACTCCATATTTCACCGCAATCATTCAAGTGTCAACTCTGTTTTTGTTTTCACCTAAATAACGAGCGCAGAAGAAATAATAAAAGTAAAAACTTTCTCTTCTATCACAAATTTCTATCAGCATATTTTTGCCAAACTTTTCGAACTCACACCCTCTAACAACTACATTTTTACTTTTTCCATCACTTTATTTATGCATTTTCCATTTACTTACTTGTATTCCTTCGCTACACTTTTGCTTCATACTCGACAACTGCTCGTAAGCGATGATGAATATTTATGAGTATTGAAAAACTTTGCCGTTTCGTTCCACTGTCACGAACTGTGCTGCGCTGCACCGTATGCCTGACAATTGTTGTGGCGTGGGCAACGCGCCCAAAAATATGCTAACAAATTGAATTGAGTTGTTATCTGCCTGAATGAGTATCTGTCCGGCATTTAATTTCTATTATTCACGTTTTTTTAAGCTCTTCATTTCACTTGGAATATTTAAAAATGTTTTTTTTCCAGACACCTAAGCGTACACATACAACAAATTTATTTGTTTTCTTGTTGAAAGTTTCTTTGGGTGCATATTTTTTGGCAAATTGTTATTAATTTCACTCGCGTGGTTTGACTTTGAAATCTTTGTTTGTTGGTGACGATGTGCTGAGTGTTGGGGCTTGAGTGTTATTACTGTTATTGCTTTGTGAAAATATTTTCGCCGCTGAAGATACCTTAACTCTGAAATATTTGAAGAAAGGGAAAAGTGATAAAGATTAACATTCTCAAGGGGTTCATAGAGGCAAATGAGTAGTAATGTATTAAAAAAAAAACAAAGCAAATTTATTGATCTGAGATATTTTGCTAACGTGAGAAACGGAATATTTTTTATTAAAATACAAATATTCTAAAATTAAATTCATAAAGTCGTTTCTTCAAAGTTCCACGAAATAGTCCTGATTATTAGCTTAATGGCCTCAATTTGACTTTATCTCAATAATCAAACGAAATCAATTTTGAATTCCACAGTGAACTTGTTGGAACTATATTATTGCCTGAAACAGCTGATGGCTTTGCGACTCGGCTGTTTCTGAGAAGATCTTCAGCAAAGTTATTCGTCTAAGCAATGTATTTCATGATGAAGAAAAAAGAGTTCTTTTCAAAGCTATTAAAAATTACATTATATTTCGTGAACAATTGTAAGTAGTTAAAGAATCTCGTTTAAAAGCATAGAGTTTGCGAAAAAAGCCATGAATGAATAAAAATCTGAAAATTCTGAATAGAAAATAGAAAAAATATGAAAAGTTCATAAAGAAGTTTGCCAAATAGAGGACTAAAATGCAAAGACGACAGCTCAGACAAAAACAAGAGATATTTTTAAAATAAAGATACAATATAACGCGAAAGCTATATTGATGTAATTCGGAACATTGTAAATTATGCTTCGCACTTTGCCTCCTAGAATAAATATAACATCTTTTCTCGGAGAAAATTTCTTGCAAGAAATATATTTTGATAAAAAGTTCAAGGCTAGAGAACTCAAAATTTTGTAGTTATAGAATTAAAATGAATAACCTACTTTTGTGACTTGTATCTGAACGCATCTTAAGCCAGCGGCAGAGTCAACTATTTCCGGAAAATTCTGAACCAAGAGCTCTACTAAGTTTGACTACTGAGTTACAGAATACTTTGTGCCTGCTCCATACAAATAACTTTAGAAGGGATTAGAGCAAGAGGTATTTGAATATGCTCTATCTAAATACCTGACAATACAAAGTGTCTTTTATGAGAGTCTTTGGTTGAGTCTAAATTCTCTTCTCTCTTCCAAACTAGTTGCTTAAAATTAAAAAAAAAAAACCATTTAACTGGAGATGAAGTTCACGCTAATTGACTTGGTTAAGGAAGATATTTTTATTCTTTCAATTCCTTGTTTGCGATTCATGTTTTTTAGCAATAGTACGTTCGTCTTTCTGTTGATTCCAAATCAATATCTTTTTATATGGCATATTATATATAACTGAGCTCCTTCGCTAACATTTTTTAATCACACTAAATAAAGTCAATTTCAGTTATTTCTAAGAGCTCATGTCTATCTTTGGGTTGAAAAAAGAGGAGGTACTATTGCTCGTATATAAATTATCAGCATGACGAGCTGTGTCGATTTATCCTTGTTAGTCTGTATATCCGTTTGTTCGTCCATTCGTACCCGAGTAGTCCCTCAGCTTTTAAGATATCGATCTAAAATTTTCCGAATTTCGTTTTTTCTCCAAGAAGCTTGTCATTTGTCAGAACCATCAATATCGGATCACTATATAATATAGCTGCAATACAACGTGAAAAATCATCAATCTCATCTTCAACACATTTAGCATGTATTATTATCCAAGGAAATTTAATTTCTAATTTCTTCTTTAATTTCTAAATATATTGTTCGGATCGGACCACTATATGATCTAACTGTCATACAAACGGGCTGATCAAAATCAAGTACTTGTATCGACATGTTTTTATTTATGAAGGGTATTATATTTTCGGTGCAGCCGAAGTTAATGTTTTTTCTTGTCGTAATATAATTTTCACTGTCTCAGGTCAAGTTATTCAATCACTGAACGAAATAAAACTGGTAGCAGCGCGCTGAGAGAATATGCTAAATCATGATCTATATTATTTTCATTCCTTTATTTCGCTCTTTCCACTAACAAATCGTTTTGAAAACCGGTTGACAAATTTTTACAAGCGAATTTCTTACAGCTCAGCCAGTTCAATTAACAAGTTCGCCTAATATTTTGCAAACACTCACTCATTGTTAAGTAAAAAATTAAAAAAAAAAATTATAAAATCCAATTGCAACTAATTAACTACTGGCAGCGCCTAAATATGTTGCATTCGTATAAAATAGTATTCAGAGAAAGAGCATCAGTTGACACTTGCAGTTTTAGCGCATCACAAGCAGTCTACCTCAAACAAATTAAATACCGAAATGGCTTTTAAATTCGCACTTACCTTCGTCGTCTTCCTCGCTGTGGTCAATGCTGACGCCATACTCTCCCACGTAGCGGTAGCTCCCGTTGCCGTAGCCAGGATTGCCAATTCCTCTGTGGATGCGGTGACTACGACCCACCAAAATGTCGTGCGCTCCTTCGTCGGCACCGGTTCCCATCATTCCAAGGCTGTGGATACTCCCTACTCTAGCGTACGTCAATCGGATACACGCATCAACAACAAGGTCTTTACACCAGCTATCGCCAAGAGGGTCACTACTTATGCTGCTCCTGCAGTGGCTACTCCGTTGATTCCCAAAACTATCCCCTCGCCCGTCGCTAAGGTTGCTCCAGTTGTGTACTCTCATGCTGCTCCAGTAGCCCCTTACGGACATGTAGCAGCTGCTCCAGCTTTTGCTTACTCGCCAGCTGCTGCTGTCGCTCATGTTGCCTTCGATGGTTTCGGCACACACTGGGGTTATTAAGCGGTTATTGTTGCACGTAATTTGTTGGATGTGTTAACTTCATTATTGTTAATAAAACTCGTAACTTTGTTATAATATATTAATATTATTGGACTTTGTAGAACTTCATTGGTACTTAAACAGCTCATACACATATTCTATTTTGAAATTCGAAACCTTATATCGTTTTTCAATACGAAGCAAAAAACTTTTTTGTCGTAAACTGCTCTGCGGATTTACCAATTAGAGTGTTATAAAATAAAGTTCGATCAAACACATCGATTACGAATAACATTTTCCACTTTTTTGTATTTCGGAAAGATTCGTCATAAATAAAACTTCTGTCATCCTAACCAGATACTCGCTGTAGTATTTTATATTTATACTTCTCCACAAAGTTTACCACAAAGTCTGTGACACCTAGAAGGAAACGTCGGAAATCCTATAAATTATATATAATTGATATGCGTAACCAGCTGAGCCAATTCAGACATGTCCGTCTGTCTGTCCGTCTGCATATAAGCGAACTTGTGTCTCATTTTTAGAGATATCGGTCTGAAATTTTGTACACGTCTTTCTTTCTCAAGAAGCTCCTCATTTGTCGGAACCACCAATATCGGACCATATAGCTGCCATACAAACTGACTAACAATCAAAATAAAGTTTTTGCGTGGCATCTTTGGATTCCAACTGAGATCCAGAGGACTAGTATTTTATGAAGTTAACTTTCTTGTATGTTTTATCAAACAATTATTACAATACAATCCAAATCCAAAATCGCTTGTGTTTGTGAGCCCTTGACACTGGCGTCTAACTCAATTTTCCACATAATTTAATAAGACTCATTGGCAGTCATCATCAACACTGACATCAAAATAATGGAGACATTTCTTAACATGCAAATTAACCGGCTTCCGTTAGGAGTATAATCCCAGTGAGTTTAAATTACACAGCCACAAAAATGGCTTCCAAACAGCCTCAGTCACATGAAGGATGCTCCTGAGGATAAAACCGCTTTTAGGACGAGCAAAAAAAAATTATTAAGAAGCATAGCCATATTCACATGCAACAAATCGCAACTCAACTAAATTTGTAAATAATGCAAATTTGATTACGATTGCGACTTGGTATCTGCCTGCGTGTGTGTGTGCGTGTCAAGGATAAGTGCGCCTGCAGCGAAACGCTAAGGATGTTGATGAATTTTGACATTTTGTTTGTGACGCCGCTGCGGAGATTTCACTGACACGAGCACATACATACACAGAGAGATATTTGGCTGCCAGGCCAATTGTGCGTGTAATCCGCGATAATCATTTTAAATTTGGACGCCAACAAGTGGTGCGATTGTGTGTGTATAAGCGAGTATGTGTGTGTGTCGTTGGGAAGTGTCGTAGGTATTTGTGTGTGTATGTTTCTAAAGCTTTAAGTGCTTTTAGCAGGCCTTTGACAACCGCTCTCTCACTTTCCTTTTTGTTTTGTTTTGTTGTTGTGTTTGAGTTTGATTATTGCTCAACGACTTTGCCGCAAGGATAATTGAATTCAACTCAAGACACAGTGCACTTTCGAATGTAAGAAAGTAGCAAATCTGCAAGCGACTTGAGCCACCGTGAGCAATTCAATTAAGCAAGAGTGATGGGTGGTCTTAAAGCGAGTCTCAAAGCGCCACATAATATGTATGTGTATGCCTCCTTTTTAAATGTATGCGTGTGTGTGTTCGTGAATTTGCGCAAATCTTTGCTTAGCGGCAAATCCGCAGCTATCACTTCGCACAATTTATTCAGGAATTTTTAATCAAACCGTTGCCATTAATTACTCGAAATTCTTAGCCACATAACAGACATTTTTCGCCTGCCACCATTCGCAGCGCACTACTTGCACCTTCCGTCAACGCTCTGACTCTGACTCGAGCGTTCAGTGACGCTGCTGGAAAATCAAACATCAGGCCAGCAGTTCAAACGGAGAAAAAAGAATGCGCAAAAGTCGCTGCCGAAAAAAAGAGAAATCGAGCAGTAAACCATGTGGCAGCCAAATACTTGCCGCGCTATGCCAACATCATGAGCCAGGAAATAAGAAGCGGACAAAAACCGTTATGCAGCCAGCAGTACTTGTAGTAGTGTGGGTGGCAGTGGCGAGCGATGAAATGCGAAGTACAAACCACAGCAACGCGGTAGGCAAAAAAGAAAGAAAATCTGTGTGTGTGTGTCTCTGTCCCAGCTCGTGTCTATCCACGCATATTAATACAAACGTGTGTTTGTGTGCGTATTTGTGCATCAAATTAGTTGCAAACGAGAAGCAAGCAGCAAAATTTCCCTTAAACTCTCTGCTCTGCCCTCTGCTTGCCCCCTTCATCACTCTCTTTGCACCAAGGTTGTCAGCAGCAAGTACTCACACTTGTTGTTGGAATATGCCAATGTGGCAGATCCCAAGCAGCAGCTCCTTGTTTGTTTGTATGTGTATGTGCCGCTGATTTGCTGATTTTACTAGCTGCTAGCAGATGAGGGCGTTGTAATGAATAATTTATAATATAATAGTTGGCAAGCTTTTACGGAAAATTAAAGTTTTGTGGCTCTTCACACTAAAAGCAAGCGATGAAGCTACAGCAAGGGGCGTTTGCGCAAACATGGATGAGGGAGATATGATTAAAAAAAAGGTTCTGGAAGCATGTAAATATGTATGGATTTGAGCTAAGGAAACTTGTTGCATGCCGTCATGCTACACTTAGGCAAATATTAAAAGCCGGGAAGTGAGTAGGAGGCAGCACGTACTCACACTATTATTAATTTGCATTTTATAAACACTCTCTAAGCAGTTTACAACAAGAAATTCAGGAGTAATAAATATAGAACACCCACTTCAGGATCATGCTACTAACTAAAGGATCCAATAGAATCCATATACATAAGGAGAGTAGAGTAAATTCAGAATGCCATTAAATACTGGTGAAAAGCTAATATTATAGCGAGACTCTGTTAGGATCTGATTTGCAATACAGTATAATCGAAGTACTGTTTGTAACTCTCAAAAGCCTATATAATTAAGTTTTTGCTATATTTAGTTCATAGTCACAGCCGATAGATGGCGTATAGGTTGAATAGAGGGGAATACGAATGGATCTTCATCGACAACAAACAGCAAGTTCTTAGATGAGCCCATGTTTCAAAAAGATTTGTGTATGCAGGCTTTGAATCAAGTATTTCAACCTGAAGATGAGACTTTCAGGTATAGATGAACAGATTTTTGAGGAGAACTTAGAATTATGAGCTATTGTATGCGCTTAGAGACTATTGTATGAGACCTACTCGGCACTGTCGAAATGTTGTGCTCTTTTATTAACAGTAGCTTTTTATCTTTAGGGGGTATTCTAATGTAGAATTCCAAACAAATTGATTTCTTTTCATGTTATCAAAGTTTAACTATTCAAGAATATATCTACAAGAGAATTTTTGAAAACTTAAATTGTTTTCGGAGATGTAGACATTTTACTGACCCAGCCTTCAAATTGGTTCGGCTTTGTCTAATCGAGCAAACGACTTTACGCGAAACTTTAAATTCGTTTTTCTCAGACCACGATTTCTCGACTTCTGCTGGACCAGTTTACTTGAAATTTTCAGAGAATTTTCTTTATAAACCCTTCTCGAGTATGAGTTGGACTCATTTCCAAATTTAAATTGTTATTATTTTTTAAGAAATAGGAAAAAATAAAAAAATGGTAAAAATCGTTTTTTTTTAAACAGTCGCCTTTAAAAATAAATATTATTACAATAGATAAATACAGGTAAAAATCGAAGGATCCGTCAAAATTTTGAATTTTTGTCAAAATAGCGGCTTTGTAATTTATTATCAAAAAATCTTATAAATATAATAAATTATATGTTAATATATATTACATATATATTATACGAAATTTTTTTAAAGCTAAATGAATGATCACACCCACCCAAAGTTGTTCTAACATGAAAATTATAATTTGAGCAGTCTGCAACAATTCAAGGGTTTCTTTAAATACTCCGTTTGTTGGAAACTATAAAAACCGATATTTTGCTTCAAACTGCTACTAACCCGGATTTTATTACACCGATTTATACAAAAGTTCGCTCTACTAAGTGTCTAAGTGCGTTTCCTGCTTTCAACGAGCTACAACATAAACTACAAGTATATTTCTTCTCGAAGTCACACAAATACTACTCCACAGAAACACCAACAAACAGAAAGTCGCCGCTCTACTACATCCAGTTCATATGAACTCTGATGAATCTAATTTCATTTAGCAAAACTGATTTATTGATGTGTTCAATCTTCAAAGCTTTCTAATAGAAAAAAATAAATATAAATCATTCTGCTCCTACACAGTAAATGCTCGTGTGAGTGTGCCTCTGTGTGTTGGTGGGTGGGCGCGACTTGAGTTGCAGTGACGCTGAAATATTGCAAAGAAATTGAACAAACGAGCTGGCATGTCTGACGAACAGGCTAACAAGGTTAATTTCGTTGATCAACTTTTTTTTATTCATTCACTTTGGCATCATTTATCAACAAAAGACTACAGGAGCGACCCGTGTAGAAATATTAATAGACAAAGATACAAGTTAATATGTTTTTGTATATGAAATTTTTTTTTATTATTTTGAAATTTTTTGTATAATTTTTTATTTGTATTTTTTTTCCTTAAGGTTATAAAAAAGCTTACTTGAGCACAGAGATTTAGGCGAAATCTGCAAGAGACACACTTTAAGCTCCACGTCATAGAAATCCACTTCCAAGCACGCACACTTAACCGCTCCATATTTCCATATACTAGCATACAAGCATACATGTGTACGTATGTGTGTGCATCCTTTTTTCACCCTTATCTTTCGTTCTGTTTCGCTCTGTATGGCGTATGCCACCTACGAAAATTAAAAATTCATTCGAAAGTGTCAATTGCTGTCACTTAATATACACGACGAGCAGCAATTGCTCCTATCGATAGTGATTGCCGGCGTTGCCAACAACATCGAATCGTGAAACAATGAACACAAAGGGCA